GGGGGGGGGGGGGGGTAAGGAATTCCATCGTATATTTCAAGAAAATACTCTACCGCATACAAAAGTTTTAATTTCCTTTTGTTTGGCCTGTCTCTCCTTCTGGGATATTTGACAAGTTCTGTTTGAAACGTAAATTTGAATATTTCACGTATGGGCAAGCATTCATGAGTGATTATTCACTAGCATGATACCATTATATTCGCATCCCGAGTGGAAAAATAAGTACTGTCTCGGTCTTGGAGAGTCGGGTTTTGTTTTCCAAGCTAATCTAGACCTGAAGACGTAAAACTAAATTTGCTGCTAGCAAAACTGGGATGACTAGTTCTAATAATATCAAGATGCGGATCTCCAATATGTTACCACCGCGTTCTTCATTTTCTTCTTATAGTTTAATTATAGCAACGAAGTCTGGTAACTGCATTTATAATAGAAAAAATTAAAAAAATTTTTTTACCCCGTGTATGTACGTTTTATGTATTTATGCACGATTAGCATATACATTCTTTTCTGTTCTATGTTACAGGAGAGCATACCATACGAAATTATCCTGCTACAGTTCATGGAGCTTTCCTCAGTGGTCTACGGGAAGGTGGCCGAATTGCGGATCAGCTTTGCGGAAGTCCATATGCCCCTCCAAGTAATCCAATTCCCGTTCCGCCGCCCACTGGTATTCCCACCACAACTGCAACTTCTGGCTCAACTACTTAACGACCACGTTCTCGTGATCATTTCATTATTTGCACGTAGTGCTCCGATACTTATTATTCTTACTTTCTTTTTCCTTTTTATGAAATGTTATCAAAGGTGGTTCTATCCTTTAAACAGAAATCATTCTAATAGCTGATCGTCGATTTTTATTGACTTTTCAATTTTTAACCGATAACAAACTTTAAATTCTTACTTTTCTATTGACCCGAATGAGATTTTACACAAATGTCAGAAACCTTAGACTAATCGATATAAGACATAATATAGCTTTCCGAGATTTAACTGCTTTGAGATTTTTTTCAGAATTAGTTACTACATTATGATATTTTGCTCATTGTCTGCAAATATTTTCGGTGTCTATATTGAAAATGGCACCTCTTTTAATATTGCTTGCTTGCTAGCATTTAGTGGTAATACGTTGTGCTTGAATAATAAACAATATGATTCTTTATTCTTTAAACAATTATAAAAATAACCTAAATAATTACTAATAATTTGTTTTTTTTTTAATTCGAAAAAGAACTTACACACTATAGAAGAGATTCTATGAAATTCAGGAAATGTGCTTTTACTAGATCTTTTACTATTATCCAAGTACATTAAATTAAATTTCGAATAATAGCCTATTTTTTAATTAGCATTATAAAACTGTCGTAGTTTAGTATACACTTCAAAATATCGAATAACACTATCATTAGATATAATACCTTAACATATTACTTATTAGAAACTATTTCATTTTATGTTTAATTTTGTCAAAAACTGTTTATATTACTTTAAACTTGTCAGCTGTGTATGGTTCATTAAATACCACTTGAAATAAAAATTTGTATTTGATTTTAAAAAATCTTATAACCAACCCTGAATCCGAACTTCGACTTATCAATAGCGTGCGTTATGTGGTGTTATGGAATTTTATCCTTTCGCTCTATTCCTGTCGGATATCCTACATGCGGGGAAATTAAACGAAAGGGGAGGATTGAGAAAGTATGGGGTGATGACGTACACTATTTAATTCAGAGTTCGACCCCTGAACGGCTAAGCAGTACTTAAAACTATATTGTTTGGCTCTGATGACGCCTTGGAGGACAGATGGCTTCGATCTTCATCTGTAACGATGTCTGGGACAGTGAAATACTTCAACAGAACACAGACTGGTACATGTCAACTAATTTTATGAGATCTTAAAGAGTCTGCAAGTCCTTGTTAACTAGACCCACATCCTTTTCGCGCATTGTGTAAGCGAACAGTTATAATTCAGCCTCTATGAAAGACAAATCACTGTGCAACAAAATATAAGAAAAATAATACAACACAATAAGGTTATTATTTTAAATCTGTTGTCATTGTTTCAAAACCAATCGGCAGAGTTCACGTCCCTCCTCCGACGCACTTGACATATATCACATAACCACGCATATTACGTATCAAAAAGAAATGACACCTCACCTTTGACTATCTCTACGATTAAGATTTAATAATTAACCTAATCTGCATTGTTCACCATAGTGCCAATTAAGGTACAACTGATCTTGGTTACTAGAAACTGTAGACGAAGTTCATCAAAATGTTGGCTTCGTTATTTTCTCTTGAACAGGAGGTTCTACCACTTTTCATCTTCTTCGCATTCTCCTACCTTCTCCAGGACCACCATACATCCTCCATCTACATCCTGGACAACATGTCTCCCCAAAGGCTAATGGTTATTTGTTGGAATGGATACTAAACTGAAATTTCGTTTTTTTCTTTCTTTGACTATTCTACGTGGAAACTCCATCTATACATTTTTTTTTATTATCGAAACTTCTGAACTTGAGAGAAATGACTTATTTGCACTTTTTCTCACGTGATCGTAATTAAGTTTATAAAGTACTGGCACTTTGTATAATGAAATTAATTAATTTCCATTTATAAGGAGAATTTATGTATAAGATATCAATTTATTCATGTGCTTATTAATATTTCATTATCTACGTTCATATAATAACGTTAATATGTGCACAATAGTTTTCTTTAATAAATGTTATATTAAATGAATTGAATTTTTTAATTTTCTAATACAAGTCCCGAAAGTGTAATTCTGGTAAGATTTCGAAACCTTAGCAAATTGGTTTATGACGTATCAAATACTGAAACTGAAACATTACGCGTGTATCGAGCCACAAAGAAGATGTAAGTTAAGGAAGGAAAAGACGCGAGCGTAAAACATAAAACAAATTAAATGATCTTCCTCGGCTCCAGTATGTCTCGTAACCATTAATCAGTTCAAGATATAAAGCGTTAGAAAGAATTCCGTACATGTTTGCATAACAATCCTGTATTGTCACTGCTAGTTTGATTTGGATCGTCTCACACTTTATACTTATTTCACCATGGTTATTTATATTGCAAACCACAGTAAGTGCTTACTGTCTACTTACGAACCACAATGAAATATACGTAGCAATAGAAATAGCGGGTAGCGGCAAATAGTAGAAAATTAAATATACAGTAAGAGTAAACTACATATTCTCTCCAGCATTCGATGGCTTTGCCTCAGAACGATATGAGACGTTAACGGACCCAAACTGGTCCATAAACGTCCTCAAAATTAATGGGGTTCTGAAATCTGATAAGGCTACCCAGACTACGATGGGAGAGGGAAACAGAGAATCCGACGTGTGAGCAAGCTGCAGGGCCAGTGATAAAACAAGCCCCGTTTAATTCCTCTCGACCGGTTGCTTGTCATCAGCCTACCATAAAATCACCGCTAACTCCGTAGATCCTAACCCCCTCATTCCCCTTTAGTTTTATCCCTACATAGATTCTATTGTACTAGATTTAACTTTATACTCGTTTTACATTTTACGATTATTGCTCGTTCATCCTTCTGCTTTTTCACCTTATAATTTCTGGATACTGTCCTCTATCCTCACTCTTCGACAATATACCCACGCTTAGTTTCAAAAGAAATTCATGATATAACTTCCATTGCCCATTTTACAAAATTTACTCTGGGATGCCATTCTGAATACTAATTTTGCTTGGGACAATAAAGACATGAGTTTTATATGTTGGCCAACCCTAGGGACTAGTCATTAAATTTGGGTCTGCATGGCTTCTACGATTAGTGCAATGACATTTGGCCAAACCGCGAATTAATTTCGATTTATGTGCGTTACACGTGACTGCATTAATTATGGCTAACGCAAGGTTTACAGGATGCTGCGCCACGTGTAATGGAGCTGATAAGATAATTGAAACGGTTTATTATTTCAGTAGGGATAATTCCCGAGACAAGGGTTTAAACGTTTCAGATTCTAATTGTATGGCGCGCCGTTTCAGAGAAACATTAAAGTGTGGTGTAACGGTTTATACATTTTTTGAAATTATATTATTTTCCTCTCTACGCTTAAGAATTTCGAGTGTTTTTTGTTGCTTCTCCTGAAGGACCGCCGGTGAATAGTTTTCACTGTGGAACTTTGAAGGATTGCTATAAAAATGCGTTAATAGCCATTAATATTTATAGTTCGTCGTAAATTCAACGATATCCAAGAGCAGCGCGAGCTCTTGTTAATTTTATGGATTCTACCTTTTTTTTTATTCGAGTATCTGGTTTTTTAATCCACGGCGTGTTCAAGCTTTTAAAGAATATAGGAACCGCGTCACTAAAAGAGCGAAGTAGTTCCACGAAAGCGATTCATATTTGCCGCTCTTTCTAATAAGATTTAAAATTACTCTACATTAATATATTAAAGTAGAACGTTAATACGGGCTGTAGAACCCTTTTTCGAATATAAAAAAGGGATTAAAGTCTCAGATCATCTTCACATTCTATGCTGTGTATTTGGCTTTCTCGAGCCGTTACCTTTACCGACATTTAAAAACTCCCCGTTAGTGCGAGAAAGTCCACCGGGATGGCGCCACCGATTCTCTTTCACCATAAACCCAAAAATGTGTATGCTTCGTGTATACGCGACGTTTCATTTGGTAAACAATTTTAATTAATCACACGAATCATTTTTGTTATAAATTTCGCAACCAATTAGTTAATTATACTATGTTTAGTATTGTACTTACACAAAGTATTAATGGGGCGCATAGAAAACCATAGTTATGAAGTATTCTTGACATTTCTGTGTAGACAAAAATTTGTTTAAAGCAAAAGTATTACTCTCGTGCACCTCATCAAAACCCATCTTGCTTCCTCATAAAAGCACTCTAACTTCTTTATAATCACTTTTCATATTTCTTTGCTGTATTTCAGATTTTTTTCAAGCGTATACACTTTATGACAGATGCCACAAGCAATAACGATTTTCAAGCTGAAGTTAAGAATGACGTTGAAACCTTTCAACAGCTATGCTCCACGGGTTGCCTTAAGTAATGGTACGTCGGTATGTTTAGAGTACATTAAAATTTATTTTGCTAAATACGGATTGCGACATTTTCGAAATTTTCGTCGTGCTTTTAAAAAATTTAGAACCTTATGATATATTTAAATAAATAAGATTTTTACAACTGTGCTTTACGGAAATATGTAGGACCCATATACTCTTTCGTTATGATAAACTTATAGTACTTGTTAATTACTAAGTAAATTATCCTATGGCTTTAGTCGAGTTGAAGTGCTTTGATTATTTCCACCAATAATTTTCTAGTATCTAAACTATTGGTAGTAGATAATTTAATCAGTCATCGGGCAAAGAGAAAGAGCCTCATGCAACATTCTTCCTGCTTCAATTGACCTTAATCGAGAAACAATATCGGGTCGAGGTACCGTGGCATGTTTCGTACTTTGTGCGATGCAGGGACGGCTCTCATTAACATATTCAATTTGTATGGTGCAGATTTTTTTTTCTCTTTGCTTTTGCTATTTGCCGACGATAAGTTATTACAAGGCAAGTGGCTTATCGTTCATCAATCAGAGCGTCCAGTGCAGATTGCTCGATCAATTTGGCTCTGACGAAGTGTAGACATTTTTTTCCCTTATCCCTATCATCCCTTTTTACCACCCTGTTCTATGCTTCTGATTTGTTCGCCCTTCAAACGGGTCTTCTTGCCAACTGCACACACTGCTGTATAGCTAATCGATCTGTCGTTATGAAAACTTGTTTTAATGGCGAATAAAGAAGTTTCAATCGACAAGAAAAGTTTCGAAGGGTCACCATTTTTTTAGAGCAACTTTACGATCAAGAGATTGGATAAAAGCAAGTTTCGGAAATCGTTCTAAAAGTCATGCAAAGCCCTTTCTTAAATGCTTTAACCCCTTAACTGTCAAGCGAAATAAATGGTCTTGGGCCTTCGATGATATCAAAGAGCAAGTTATTGACCTTATGGAAACATACTCTCTTAAAGGTTTGTTGAACGACTGAATTTAAATTTGTATACAAAATTTACACAATTCAAAATGGCGAATCGAATATATCGCTTTATCCACAGTAAAATTGAATTTCAAATACAAACGTTCAG